CTCCAGCAAATACTCAGCCATATCAGTATCCACATCTCCAGAAGGATGAAATAGAAAGGATTGTATAAGAGATGTTCGAAACAGGAGTTATTCGGCCAAGTTACAACCCCTACTATTCACCGGTACTCCTCGTACGAAAGGACGGAACATAGCGATTGTGTGTTAATTATCGAGCTCTCAACGGCATAACCGTCAAGGACAAATACCCTATTCCAATAGTAAATGAATTGCTAGATGAAAAGGAGCACAAATCTTCACAAAGCTGGACCTTTGATCCGGGTTTCATCAAATACGAGTGTGCGAAGAAGACATACCGAAAACCACCTTTTGAGCACACAACAACCACTACAAATTTTTGCTTTCTTCAACAGAAGGTGGAATATCTTGGGCATATCATATCAGAGGAAGGTGTGGCAGTGGACCCCTCCAAAATTGGAGCAATGCAGAACTGGCCGACCTCAAGGAACATAAAATTGCTACGTGGCTTTCTCGGTTTAATAGGCTACTACCGCAAGTTCGTAAAAAATGATGGAAAGATCAATGCACCACTTACTTCCTTGCTAAAAAAAGATGCTTTCCAATGGTTGGACAAAGCCACCACCGCCTTTGACAAACTTAAAGCCGCAATGACGACAACGCCCATACTAACGCTACTCGACTTAGGCAAGACTTTCGTTATTGAAGCCGATACCTCTGGAGTCGGAATTGGTGTTGTACTAATGCAAGATGGCCGCCCCCTCGCTTATACCAGCAAGGCATTATCTCCTTCCCATCTCAAAATGACTATTTATGACAAGAAGATGCTCGCGATTGTGCATGCAGTGGCCAAATGGAGATCGTACTTGATCGGGCGACGCTTTCAAATCAAGATCGACCATAAAAGCCTAAAATATTTCTTGGAACAGAAGATATCTTCCCCCGAGCAACAAAAATGGGTAACCAAACTTCTTGGATTTGATTATAAAATTATTTACAAAAAGGAAAAAGAAAACGTTGTTGCAAGTGCCATTATTGATCGACGGATCGTGACCCGACGACGACGACCCACTACTGAAGTGCTAAGAAAGTGGGCGAACTTACTAGCAGAAGGCGCCACTTGGGAGAACTATGACAAGTTGAAGATCAAATTCAAAGAATTCATGGAATCTCAGCCTCGAGTACAAGTCTGATTTGAAGAGGACGAGTATATTAGGACTCTAGCTAGGAAAGTCCTAATAGAGATACGCATTCATGTAAAACCTACCTAAGCCGACCCCTATTAAAGAGGTAAAGAGGTCGGCTAGGGTTAGGAGGTTGTTTCTTAAAGAAGAATTAGGAGTTGTAAAGGAATAGGAGTCTTGAGTAGGAGTCCTATTAGGAGTTGGTTAGAAGTAGGAGTCTTGAGTAGGAGACCTATTATGAGTTAGGGTTTAGAAGCCCTATAAATAGCCATGTATTCATCCTTTTTTGTTAAGCAATAGATGATCTTTTCTGCAGCCTTTGAGCAGCAATTTAGAGGAATGAACCCCTATAGAGTTCCAAGAAGGCCAATCCCCTAAAGAGATCAACCCCAAGCTTAGAATCTACAAGGGTTCTAACATCATGTTGGCATAAGTGTGCCTGTCCACCGTGAACTAACTCATATGCAGAAATAAATTAGCTTTTAAGATCACCCCTCCCAATCAAGATGAACCATATAGCCAAGAGAAAACATTAACTAGAATAGAATATATTGCCCGACGCATAAGTAAATATTTCATAGGAGCTTTATTAGACCGTACATCTCTCTTGGTATATCCAGATAATAGGTAGGAACATAGACCCAAACATTCAAGATCTACAATGATAATTATTAAATTGTTAGCACCACATAAGACATTCCTCCTAGAGTAGCTATTAATACAAACAACAGAAACTCTGTTATAACCATTTCTGTACATTCTATGTACTCTACGGATGGAGTACATAAATTATGCATTGAATTTTTGGTAGCATTGTTCCAAAAGAAATGGAACAAAAGATTAGGTAGAACTAAGACAATTATTGTATGAGGTCTACCCAATGCTAAATGAACATCAGAGCTGTAAATGACATTTCTATTGCAATTTCTTGATTACCATATGATGATTTCTTAACTTTCCATACATAGAAACAGATAACTGTATATGACATTTCTTATGACAATGACACCAAAGGGATATTACGTGAATGGAATTATCCTGTGAATTATGCCTGAATGTTGAAATCCTCAAGCTTGAGGTCATCCCTAAAATGTACAGATATTAGCATATGTTGGACCATGAAGGGTGAGCCTTGAATCATTGTATTGTTGCTCCTTTGTGAACTGAGTGACCAAAGTTTGAGTCATGGAACAACCTCTTTACTTGCAAGGTAAGGCTGCATATATTATAATTCTTCTTGGGCTTTGAGGGAATCTTGTGCAATAGACTGCAGTCTCTGAGTACTAGAGTTCACCTGACTCATGTAAGCCACATTTGGATACCCTTTAATTGGTTTTGAAATGGGTTCAGATAGCAAAATATAAATGGACAGTCATACTGCCTGATAAAGTACAAAACAGACGATACATGTCATTCTGATAGCTGACCAATATGCTGCCAGCCTGTTTCGATGGCACATAAGGAATTGGAGGCATATCGGCTGGTATGCTTCCCACATTGGGCGATACAATTGAAACTCGATTGTTACCAACCGGTGTTGGTCAGTAACAATCAGGTTTCAATTGTACCAATGTCCTTTCAATCCACACCAATTGCCAATGGTCAAATTGATTGTTGGGGGCTGTTTAGGGCTTATAAAAGCCCTTTCGTCCCCCATTCAGACTCACTCTTTCTTTTTCACTCATTCTCACTCATTAAACTTGATTAATTTCTCTTATCTGTGATTAGAGAAAATCAACCTCCTGATTTAGAGAAAAGAGCAATCAAACTCAAGGTTGGGTGGAATTTATCTCCAATTTAGCTTCTCTCTATGTTTCCTTTATCATGTCATGTAATTAGTGTAAAGAATATTGGTAAATCTAGATACATTAGTGACTAATGACTAATTAAGACCTAATTAGATGTATTTGAGAAGACTTAGCTTAGCTTGATTGACCATGTATTGACCTTTTGCATGATTTATGAGCTAATTTTATCATGTACAATGGGAAATTAGAAGTTTTTTAATGCATGTTTATCTAGATAGATTAAGCGTGATTAAGGCATAATGAGTGGTAATTAAGGAATTTAAGTTAATTCTAACATGTATTGTAGATAAATAGAGACTTATTATTGCATGATTAAGAGTAATTATCATAATTATTGTGAAATTAGAGTCATTCTCTTACGTTTCAACCCAATTAGGGGTGATTAAGGGAATTTAGGGCTATTTACAGCAATTTTGTTTGTTATTTGATTATGAAATTACTAATCGATTAAGGAATTTTTTATTGTATTTAATGTGATTGAAGGCTAACAAAAGCTAATTAGTGTCTTTTTTTTTTTACTTTTAACCGAATATGGAGTCATTAAGTATAATTTAGTGCTAATCACAGTTTGCTTATTGTTGCTTGATCACGATATTTGTGGTAGATTAAGCTAATTAGAGCTAATTAGGGACTTCTTGGATTTAGACCGAATTATGTAGCTAGAGGTAACTTATTCTATAGACAATTTTTTGTAGTAAAATACCCAATAATCAAGTGATTCAGCATGACCAATGCAATCACCAACAGTGCATTCATTGGGACTACATCAATTGGCATGGAGGAATAACCCATCTGACATAGTATATAGTCGGTGGATTTTATGATGTCGCAAATTGCACTAAGGTTCCTCTAGAGATAAGAATAAAATTTTGAGATGATATGGATAAGAAAAAAGCTAAAACTCTAGGCCTAACAAAAGATGATAAGCATGCTACAGAGGCACTGGTATATAATCAGTATAAGCATGCTAATATCCATGCCTCCTTGGAGTATCTACACATGCACGAGGAGGCAATGAGACTAGGCAGGAGCGTCAGCTTGTGAGGCAGCCAACTAAATCTCTTCCTCAATTAGGCAGAATAGGAAATAAAAAGCAAGGTGGATTATGAGGTTTCATTAGAGGCACTAGTAGAAGGGCAACACTTGATATAGTTGACCTTGATATAATTGACATCGATCAGCATGCTTACCCAGCACAGTAAGCCAAACAAATAAGAATCGATTATGCATATACAAAGGAAAAGAAGAAAGACATTGACAAATTCATTGCAAGGTGATTCAACTTCCACAGGATTCTATTCCTTACAGCCCAAGGTCCATACTACCAAAGCATGATGCATCAATTCAGAAGGCAGGTCCTGGCTTCCAACCTCCTACACCAAAGGAGTTACATGGCACCTATGTAGATACATCCAACATCCTATGTAGATGAGGAGGTGTTAATTGAGGAGGTGGAAAAATTGACAAACTGGATCAAATCATTTCAGAAATCAATGTCACATCATCAAAATGGGTTTACTGTCGATATTCCAGTACGTATGGAAAGAAAGTGAAGTACATACTGTCTACTAGGTTCTGGGATTCCATCCCCATGATTATCACATGGTCAAGTCACTACATGTCATCCTCCAAAAATTTGATATGAAGAAGAGACAGATAGGCTACCTAGTACATCTGTCGCATTCATCTAGGAAAAGAATAAAAAACTTGAAGGCTGATCAATATCTCAAAATCCTTGGTCGTAGGGCGTCCATATAGACCAAGATATTCATAACGCAGATATTAGAAAATTTGAATTCATTAAGAATTTGAATTTAATGTATATTTGAAGCATATATAACTTGAGAAAGGCACCACTACTGCTTGAGCAGCCGAGCAAATGAAAAAGAGGAAACAGAATGTTGTCTCATATCAATCTCCATATAAATGTTTTGAAAAAAATAGTGAAACATTAATGTAAAGCAGCAAAATGGCAAGTTAATTTGAAACAATAAACATCACTCTTGCAGGTAATGAAAAAAATACCACTTACAGAATATATGGAGGCCTGTCTCATACCAATCTCCATCATTGTCCTTCCAAGCAGCAACCTGCAACAGAGAAGGAATCATAAATTATGTTGTATCCAGAGCTGGCTGCCTCAAAAAATCTTTCTTTTAATTTTCTCCATATTTGTGTAAGTGCCAATCATACACATAACCAACAGATTTAACACCAAAAAAGACTGACAAACAAGCAACGTAATATTCCTGTAAACACAAAACAAGACTATGACTACTATCTCAGAAAAAACAACTAGTCACTCTTCAACTACAAAGACATAGAAGGTTTCTATGGGCATTAAAACTTAAATTAATATCTTAATAGAACTCTCAAGGAAAACACATTCAAGTCTTTGATATAAGAACCATCAAATGGACAATCACACATGTAAGCTTGTCAAAGAAATTCTGACATGTCCAGCTTAAAGTAAGGATTGTAATTTCATGACAAAGGGCATATTGATACCCTTTTAGCATGGCAGTGCTATTTGACACACCTCTGTGCCTGCCAGCATTGGCTAAAATTCACTCCATATACATGTTGGCATCTTTAGCAGAGGTTAGTTTAGTGTGTGCATTACCTTTTTTGGCAAGGTATAGTTCTTAATATATTGCACACAAATAGTACTATGTCACTCTATCTTATGTGCTTTAACAAAATCAACTTAACATTGTGTTGTCAATGTTGCCACATGCTAGCCAACAGAAAACATAAGTTAAAAACCAGGCACATGTTTATGGATCATAGTACAAGTGGAATGGAACACATAACAAAAGTGCACTAGGGTGACACGGTGGAAGAAAACCCAGTCCAACTATTTATTTATACAATGAAACATATCCAACCACACATGAGAGTCTGAACTTAACTTTTCAATTATAATGGAAAATTGGAAAACTTTAGACAACAAAACTTTACTGAAATGAACACACATATCATAGATTCAAAGCCATTTAGAATAGGCATAAACCTTTCCACCCAGGACATCTCTAGCCTCCAAGACTATAGGCTTATGACCTGCATCTGCTAGATATTTTGCCGTAGATAGACCAGCCAGACCTACCAGAAGTTGACAACATACATTAATATTTAATCATGGTTGAGTGATATAAGAGCATTATCCAAATAGCTACAGACTCGTACGTAATTTAATAATGCAAGTGAGAGGAAGAATTCATTTGACCATGAAAAATTAAAAATTGCAATTGGAAGGATATGATTACTGATATTCTCTGCATTTAGGTATTCTAAAGATATCAGAATGTCATACCTGCACCGGCTATGACAACCTTCAGAGGTTTTCTTGGCCGTGGACCATTGCAGAAAGATGAAGATAACTGGGCAGCTTCTAGAAAACTAACAGTGTTCTCAAGTTCAGGCCTCGGGAAGTCTTTGCAGAAAACCTGTGGTTACAAAACCAACAATCCACTATTTCCCGGTGATAAATCAAGGAGAAGCTTGGCAATACAGAAAAACTAAAGGAGAAACCTGGAGAGGGCTGGCACCATGTCTTGGCTTCTTGTCCTTAAGCAACCAAATTGGAGCCTTCATTTTGAAACCCATGAACTCACTATTCCTGAACGATTCCAGTTTGTTGCTTCCAGAACATTTGTGAAATGAACATTTTTTATCAGGATTTGGATGCCACCAGTATCTTCTCTGAATTGTTCCACTTAACTTCATGGGAGAGACAGATCCGATAATGTTCATGCTGGCCTCTATATTCTTAGCAGGTCTATCTACAATCGATAATTAAACCTCCATCTGACAAGCATAAAAAAAGAAACAAATCAGAAGCAACAGGATTTTCGGCAACAATTTCCCTGTTTTTTACTGATATATACATCCTGAAATTTATGAAACAAGAATAAAATCATTATAACTTCACAGAAAAGGAAGAAACTTCAACAAAAGGTTAACCACATCAACTAAAAGTAAGTTGAAGAGGGAACAACGGGTAGAATGTAAAGAAGAAACATGTCCCAATTTGGTCTCAAAAACAAAATCTAGAAAAAAAAATAACGAGCACGCTCCAGATTCACAAGTATATCTATTTTAAGATTAAACTTCAAGTTTCAAGCGATCGAATATCCGAAATCAACACCACTGACTAAACTATAAAATAGAAAGAAAGCTAAGATTGCACACGCCAACCATCAACTGTGCAGAAGTAGGGGAAAAATTAGAGGAAAAGGATCAAGAACAAGCAGAAAAGATGACAAATCAAGAACGACGGCAAAACCTAGAGTCAGCCAACGAGTTTCACAAATTCAACATCAAGAAACCAAGGCAGAAAAGAACGAGAGAAGAGAAGGGCTGAGAGCTGACGAGTTCCAGAAATACAACATCAAGAAAATAGAACGAACGAGCAAAAAAAGCCGGTGGTTGTCACGTATCCAACATCAAAAAACCAAAGCGAACCCCCGGGGAGCGGGGCCGGCTGCGGTGGGGGGGGGAAGCTAATAATAGGTTCTACAAATCCAACATCAACAGAGCGAACTGATGGGTTTCACGAATTCGACTTCAAGAAACCCAAGAAAAAAGGAACGAGCGACAGAGGAAGCTGATGGGTTCCCTAAATCCAGCTAAAGAGTTACCCAATTCCAGGATAAAGAAACCAACGCAACCCAGTTCGAACGGGACAGCGAGCCGATGGGATTCACGAACCCAACATCAAGAAATCAAGGTGAACAGGAAGAAGAGAAAGCGCAGGACGTAACGGGCTTCAACAATCCATCATCATCAATAAATAGAACAAATAAAGAGCTGCAAAAGGGAGAGTTCACCTCCGATACGAGATCGAATACGGGTGGGAGGAAGTGGAGGTTAATCTCCAAGGTTGCAGATGCGAAGGGATAAAATGAAGAAAGCGTTTGTTTTGTTTTATCTTCAGGGGTGTGTTTGCACGGATTCCCCTCAACATATTGATATTTGTGAACCATCAACATATTGCTTATTTACATAATACTCCCAATTAGTATACTACGATATTCTCAAGACATCAAATTGTAATTTAAAATCGACTACTAAGATAGACTCAAAACACCTCTTAATTATATGTGATTATAATCAAGATAGAGAAAACAACGAGAATTATTTGAACTAAGATACAAAAGAAGATGAAGATGAAAACATCAACCATGTATGATGTAAAGCGAGTATGCAAATTTAGTTTTAATTTATAATTCAGTCTGCAAATATGATATATGATATTTTAAACTATGAATTAGATTATTACAAGTAAGGGTTAAATTATTAATATACAATAAAACGCAATCAGATTCATGTAGATGGCAAGAGATCACGAGATGGTAGTGTGCTTCTTATTCGTCTATAAATATTATATATTTTGAAGGATTTTTTTTAACAATAAACTGGTTATAATAAATGCAAACATAACTCTATTTCCAAAGACAACCGACAATTCTAGTTCTTCATTTTTGAGGATATAAATCAAATTGAATATAAAAAATTTTCAGTCTTTTTCTAGAATTGATGGTTTCGATTTTTTATTTTAATCATTCTGGTTTTGATTTTTGATTTATTATTTTATTTTTTTTTATTTAAAAAAAATAATAAATTAATTATGTAATATTTCTCATCCTATCATCTAATATTATTGAACAATCATTATTTTTAAAAACTAATTTATATCCAACATGAAATGAAAATAATATTTTTAATAATATAAGGAATAAAGTAACATACTTCCAATCCAATACAATAATAGCTCCATCAAGCACATATAGGGTGCGGTGCCCTCACTAATAATCATTACAATAACTTTTACTCTATTGCCCGATCTTGAGGTCCTAGAATTTGTTAGAACCTACAATAAATTACAGATGTGATAAGTATTACAGGTATTCAATACTCATGTGTTATCGTAAGAGTCTAATAAATGGAGATTGATCATGAATATACTTAAAGTTTCTCCATACTTCTATTTCGCCTTCTCTCTACAAGGTACTTTCCTCTTCCAATGCCCGTCTTTGCTATAGTAGAAGTACTGGCCTTTGTCCTTTGTCTGGTCCTTCTTAGTAATATTTACTTTACCCAGTTTGCCCTTGCCCTTGCCCTTCTTAAGGGATTTATTTTATTTTCCTTTTCTTTCTAATCTCACTAGTATAAAGAATTGAGTTAGTTTCTCTTTCTTAATGGTGCTCTCAACCTCCCTCAACAACTTCAAGTTTGTTTATGTTAAAATTTATAATGAATTGAGAAAAGAAATTTGGTAGGGACTGAATCACAAGATCCATACACAGGTTATCTACTAAGATCATTCCTAGACTCATGAGTTTTCTACCCACTCAATCATATTAAGGACATGATTTTGAATCAGTGTCCCCTCGATTATCATGGGGTGGACTCTTACATATCTCATATCGTTAAGTTCTTCCCTATTTCTCAAACGATTTGTGAAGATGTAGGAGAATGAATCTAGTATCCATTTTTTTGTGTTACATATCTAACTCGGGAGTCATGGAGCCCAATATATAACATTGAGCAAGAGTGAAGTCATTTATATACTTTACATAGCGAGTGAACTCATCCTCGCTTGCCCCTTCCTCAAGCATAAGCATCATTGTGTCAAGGATGTATATGATTTTCTTCGTCGTGAGAACGATTCTCAAGTTGCGGAGCCAATCCATGTAGCTTAGACCAGTGAGGCGGTTGACATCAAGTATGCCACATAAAGGATTTAAAAGTGACATATTCTAAAATAAAGATGCAATAGAAATAAATAACATGTAGATTTTATAAAAAAATAAACAATCAAATATATGGTCTTCTATCTTAATCTACTCCCACTATTTTCTCACGAAACACACAACTCTCTCTGTTATGTGAATCGAAGATCCCAACGGATTTTTAACGGGGATTAGGATTCAATTGGCGTCCTAATATAATTTCGAGAGACTCGACTAATCACGCAAAGTCCAAAAAAGTAGGCAACTCTTGCCGATCACAATTCCTTGTGATTCCGTCTTGTTCGACCTCCGAACCATCATAGCCTTAAGGGACTCAACCAACGTTGATGTTCGGTTAAGTCATCACCATCATTACAAGATAAGTCTGATTCGATGATATGCCCTCAAGGAACTCGACCAAGCATACTATAAGGAAATCTAGAGTGACATCATATGCACAACGAAAGAACAAAAAATAAAATCTTATATTTTCACAAAAAGGTTTCACCGTCGTGCGAAAATTAGTACGCAAAAACCCATGAAACAGAAAACCATATATGAGATAGTTAACATGTACTCATTGGAGAATGAGTTCACTGATTGATCCGCTTATGGAATACTGGATGGTTGATGATGCCTTATTATCATATAGCGATTCCATAGTCTTAAGGGTGTATCTAGTCCTTAAACTTGAGACATTAAGGATGTCCTGTATGAGTACTACATTTTTTGATACAAGACTTATACGTCTAGAAGTTCCAGATCTAGCACAACCGATCATTGGGAGTGGTAACCAACCTTATGAGGACTATTGAGTATCGATAGAGGATTGATCATCCACTTTCAGTGTCATAAGAGGAATATCCCATATGTTCTTGCTCAAACAAATCCCTAGCCAGGGTCATTCGGATTGAGAGAGAAAGAGTTCTCTGGGAGAATCCGATCAAAGCGAGACTCGAGCAGAAACCATATGGGTTTGACAACAACATACCCGGTATACGGTCTCTGGAATATTAGATCTATTAGGATCAAGAGCACGCTAAGAGGGGAGGGGGGTGGGTGAATTAGTGCAGCGAAAAACTTTCACGATTTAAAAAACCTTGTTTCGATTAAAGCCGATTTAACTTAATTCGTTTCAGAAGGAATTTGAGCTTGAATTCTAAAGTGAAAATGTAAGAGAAGACTAAGGTGATTTGTAGCAGTGTAAATCACAAAAACGTAGATTTCGTAAAGTCTTCGTAGAAAGCTGATCTCGGAAGATGTTTTACATCAAAGCAAATGTAGACGTATTTAAAACACAGTAAGGAGGAGAGGCAATTTGCTATAAAGGAAAGATGCTCAAAGTAAATACAAACCGAGATTTTAGAGTGGTTCGATCAACGTGACCTACATCCACTATCAGTTTCCTCCTCCGACGAGGTCATCGGCGTCCACTAGAGGCCTTCCTTCAATAGGCGAAGGCCAACCACCCTTTTACAGCTTTTCTCTTTTTGATGGGCTTAGGAGGCAACCCTTACAAGTTTCACTCCTCTCTTGAATGATCTCAACACTTAGAAGAAGGAAGGAGGAGAACTCTAGCTTTTACAAAACTTTAAGGCCTCAAGACTGAAAAGTATTTCAAGAATTTCGTTGCCTTTTCATGCAGGAAAGGGTGGGGGTTTTATAGGCCCCAATGAGTTAAAAAATGGAGCCTAAAAGTATCCATTCCTGAATTTTTAAGGTCCTAGCGGTACCATCGCTATTACCGGGTGGTACTACCGCCTGTCATCGGGCACTAGGTGGTACTACCGCTCAGTTTGGGTGGTACTATCGCCTGACAGTGCTTGAAGACCGAGCTCAGGTGGTACCACCGCCTAATAGGGGCAGTACTACCACTGGTAGTAATAATTGTCGACGGCTACCGCCTGACAGGGGCGGTACCACCGCCCAGAAATCTTAGGAGATCGAGTCTCCCAAGTGGTGCCACTGTCGGCCAGGATTTCAAGGTCCGAATGGGCTATTCCATTCGGTCCAATTTGGGTCTGTTAAGGGCCCAGTTGGCCCCTGATTAAGTTAGTGGGATCATCTCCCAATCTTAACTTAATCTATACTCTAACTACGATAATTAAGATATCATAACTGTAATTCATGTTCCGATGCACCAATCGCTTCTTCCGGCGAGCTTCCGGCGAACTTCCGGCGAACATTTGACGAACTCTCGGCGATGCTCCGGCGGACTCTCGGCAAGCTCTTGGACTTCACGACGATCTTCTTGGCGAGTTCCGACGAGCTTCTATGGCAAGCTCTTGGACTTCTTGGCTGGTTCCCACAGAACTTCTGACGAATGTTCGGACTTCTGACGAACTCTCAAACTCCCAATGTGATCTTGGTCTTGACTCTGGCGTAACACCTGCTACATGTCTTACTGCCATCGTAGTTATTCCTGCACACTTTTCTTAACATATAGATTATATTAACAGATGACAATTGACTTCATAATCAAAATTTGAGATTTAATAAGATCAATGAGGGACTATAGGTATA